AATAGGTGCTCAATAAGTTCAGGCTAAGTGTTTCATCATCACTCCAAACCTGATTTTGCATAAAGATTTTTTTTTTCTGTTAGAAAAGGATCCACGTTTGGAGATATCAAAACATTTTGGGCAAACTTGAGACCATGGAATCCAATTCAATTTCACCCCAGAAGTAAAATATTGCTATACTGACATATTCCACTCACTTAGATTTAGGCCAGGATATACTGCTTCTATCCTAGCCAAAGATCTATATAGGCTTCTTATTTTACCAGACGAACAAAGAGTATGTGTTTAGAGCATCAATCACAGTCAAATCTTCACCCAAGAAGTTCTGTGTAAACACTAACTTGGCTACAGAGCCTTCATCCAGCTGTCTCTTTTCAAATTTACCCAGACCCCCCCCCCAAAAAAAAAGACGTAAACTAAAAATATCACGATAACTGGAGGTTGACATTTGAAATCCTCTTAAATTGTAGCATGCAAGTAAATGCAACAAATATTTACATTAACAACTGAAATGTTGGGAAATGCTTCAAGAATTTGAGAGGGCTGGATATTAATAGACACCTCCAAACTTCCCAGTGATAGTACCTAGAATGCACTAGGTATGAAATATCTGCCTTCTCGTGTTCTTCAGACTTCCCTGTGCCATGCCAGTCACCACGAGCCTAGGGACCAGCAGGACAGAGAAGTGGGCAAGAGCAGAAGCATTCTGACCACTCCACTCTGCCAAGATAGACGACTCGTCTTCCTCCATCCCCACTCCCCCTCGCGCACACCGCACCTGGAGAGTCTGGGTGCTGTGGGAGGCCCAAAGCTCATGCAAATTCCTGAGTGGATGTCCAGGGCCTAACGGACAAAGTGCAGACCAATGGTACCAATATGGTGCCAAATAGCAGTGGCCTAGGAGGGGCAAATTTTAAGTCATCTGTCTCACTTTAAAATGATAAAGGACTCTTTGATCTGTTAAAGTGCAGGTTATACCATATAGCTAAAACAACAAGAACAAAACACTTACCTGAATAATTCTCACTGTCTGTGTATTCACTGTATTATGGTGAAACTGTTTTGCTTTGGCAGGGTAGATGTGATTGGAAACATTTGTTCTCCCTAACTGATGACCAAAAATCACTAATAAGACAGAAGGTCATGTAGCAACTTCCCTTGACAGCAGAGCAGTCATTTCATTGGGAACTGCTGAAGTTTATTTAGTAGCATTTGAACTAGTTTCACATGATTCTTGAGCTTAAAAATAATCATTACTCTCTGCATTCTCACTGTGCTTTACTTTATTACTGTGTCATCACTACTTGTCCTCATGTATGTTACCACCACCAACTTGTGAGCCCTTCAGAACAGGATCTAGGTTTTGCCCATCTTTATGTTCCTTTCAGGACTTATAGTGGTTTTGTGAATGCTAGGTGAAGAATAAATGCCGGATGAAAAAATGAACTAATTGCACAAAATACTAATCCAACCCTATATAATGTCTATATGGAATCTGTTGAGATTGACATTTGCATATTTTTAATCTATGGATCAAAAGAAATTGATCCAAAATCTAAGAGTCCTTCAGTATTTTAATCTGTTGTCACAACTTTATTTCTCTTCACTCTGTCCCTCAAATTCCTGTGAACAGAACATTTAATTGTCATTTCAATAAATTTTGAACATAGCCCCAGGCAAATAGTTCACAAGATCCTATCTCGAAAAAAACCCATCACATACACATACACACAGGGACTGGTGGCGTGGCTCAAGTGGTAAGAGCATCTGCAGAAATTCACGTTCTGGAATCAATGGGAAGTTGTAAGTGACATACTGTAAACAGTGCTCAACTTCAAGTGTCACAAAGGAGATGTGACAGAATCCCCTCATTCCTATCACTTATACTTCATTGCATTTTTTCTTTTGCTAAAGAACAACCTGTGGTAGTTTTTGGAGAGAAAACCTAGGATTGTAACTCTCAGATTCTGTCTGATAGTTTATATATCTGCAAAATGCCCTTATCTCACTCACCATCAGAGTTGAACAGTAGTTTGTCTAGATCTAGAAAATACACTGGAAGCGCTGTGTTGTTGCTGTTTTAGCACTGCATGTTTTTATTTCCAGAGCTGTTCATGAGAAATCTGTTCTAAATCGGATCCCTCAGCTTTAGTAAAGTTTCCTTTCTGTTAACTTTTGAATTCTTTTCTATGTTTGAAGGTTCTAAACTTTTTCTACACCATGACTATATTGCTTAGCACTTGGTAACTCGTTCTGTACTCTATGTTTTTGTTCTAGGATATTCTTAGCTATTCTTCAATGATTAACTCCCCCGCATTATATCTATTTTCTTTTCTGTAAATTTCTATTTACTAGGCATGGGTACATTTAAATTTAGAGTCTTTTAAAAACTTGTTTTCTCTTCATTCTTCTATTCTCTGGAAGAATTTTTTAGCCCTGAGGTTCCTGACTTACTAATTTGCCCCTTGGTTTTTTTCATTCTGCAATTGAGCTATGAAGTTCTTAATGACAGCTACATTTTTTCATTTCCAAGATCTCATCTTGATTCTGTCTCATAAAAATCAAGATCCTACTCTTGTTTCATGAATGCAACCCCATATTTTATTTTTCTAAAGATATCATTCATTTTTTCTTGTTAAAGCTTAGTTCTAGACCCATGCAAGTTGTAAATTCCTCTTGCTCTTCTGTGACAGTTCTCATATTTCTATTTCTAGCCATTTCTGACTATGAGATCATCTTTTTGAGGCTTTCAACTATCTCAGCTTGGACAGCCAGTCTTGTATGAAGGGCTGAAGCAGCTCTGAGTATTTGTATTCCTTACTGTTTTCAGTGAGAACAGGGGATGGGCAGGGCTGAAGACAGCAACTGGTCTGCAGAGTTTATCTGATCCCTTTCTGTTACTGACCTGGAGCCTTTCCTGTTTGTCAATTCTAAACATTGGGAAGAAGGAGTGCACAGGGGCTCATAAGACAAACTGCTACCACTACAACATCCCTACCAAAGCTTGCTGGTTGCTCCTATCTTTCTTTTGCCGCAGAATTCCACCACTTCAAGACATGGAGCCTTTACCATGATGCAGCTATGTCTTCATCAATCCTTTTCTCTTGCTTATCTAAGCCTCCAACTTTCATTGTCTCAGGATTTCCTTGAAGTCTGTAGTCCCTTTATAAGTCCACTTCTTGTGTTTAGGCATGGCTAAAGATTCATGTGTTTCTTTACATTGGTTCCACAACTGTAGATTTGGTGTAGCACAGACTTACTCAGTCTGACAAATAAAAATCACCATGCTGAAAATCTTACTCTTAACCTGAGCCTCCTAAGCAAAACACAAAATATACAGGAACTGGAGAAAGCACTGGTACCTATTTGATATATTGCGCTAAGATCCAATTTCCACCCTTCTCCTGTTTAACCCTGTACCACAGGAAACCACATTCCCTGGCTCCTTCAACAACTTACTTCTGGGTATGTTCAGCCAATGGGAGACACTGGTGGAAGAAGGGGAGTGAGAGAGAAGATAAGGATTTTACCCTGGATGATGTCTCAAATAGTACCTGTGGCTCTTCATTGGCCACCACTCCTGTCCAGAATCAGTACTCATAGCTCCTGGATGTCAGCTCCAGCTCTTGGTTCTTGGTAACATCTCCTTGTCTCACTATCTCTCCAGTCCTAGCGGTATAGGAGTCCCTGCTGTCACTGTTCTCTGGGGTACTGCATCACTACCTGTTTAGCTTTTCAGAAATACCACTCTTTATGCCCCTAATTTCCCATATTACATTCCTTCTGTTGAAAGGCCTAGAGTAGTTTTGTTTTCTTAGTGGATCCTGAATTGAAGATCAAAATTATAAAGAGATATTTTCAAAATAATAATAGGCAACTTCTTCCTTTCAGGGATAAAGGGCATGACAGGAAAGTAATTCTCAGTGTTCTCAATATCAAGGGCACCCCAAGTTATTTTAAGGAATGACATGAAATCCCTAAAAAGGTAAAATTTTGGCAATATATTTCACTTTAATTGCAAATATGTCACAAAGCAGTTTTGTAAGGAAAGCCTTAGGGGCCTATCATATTATTAAATACATGTTCTAGAATTGAATCAGGAAACACTACCTGGGAGGAGGGCAAGCTTTGACTATAACAGGAACCTTGATGAAGGCTTTTCAAGCTTTAGCCCTACCTCAAAGGCAGACATACACCAGCATAAAGAAAGCTATCGCCTCTTACTGCTGTTCTCCTTGTTGAGGGGGAGTTAGGTGAAAGGCACTGTTTCTTTATAAAAACCTTGTGTAACTCTAGTTCTTATTTGGAAACAGAGAAAGCTGCTGCTGCCTTCTTGGTCTAGTCCATTATTAGCACTGTACAAGTGCTTAATAAGCAGCACAGAAACAACAAGAGAGCCCACCACTGTGACTCACAGTCAGAGGCAGAATGAGAGCCATGTTGTGCTGGTGACATGCCATGTGGTCACAAATCCAAAGACTCTGAAAGACTCTGCACTGTACAAAGTTCTGAATACTTACTTCCATTCCCAGTTCGAGTGTTTGAACTATAATATAGGAGCTATCTATTTACTAAAGGAGAGAGCTTACTTTGGCATGGGATAAATTGGTGCTTGCAGCAAGATGAAGTTTAATACAAAGGAGGTTTCTTGAATTCTTTTAGATCTGAGTTCCATAGCTTCTGAGTGTTTGGTGTGTGTGTTTTAAAGCTGCATGACTATTATACAGCCCCTTTCTATAGCTGGCATAAGAAGGATATTCCCATCCTCTCTCCATGCTCTGTTCTTTACTTCCTCAAAGCTGAGGCGGCAAAAACACTGCCAGCTTTATGCAGCTTTTCATGGAAAGCCGCCACTCTTCACTGGCGCCTAAATGCAATTTCAGACTGTCCCAGGAGACCATCATGCTTTGAGGTGAATTCATAACATTAAGGCCAACAAAGAACTTAACACAAACTTTCACTGTTGAAGAAAAAGAAAGAAAAAATGTCTGCAGGCTTACTGAAGGATTTCTGCTTCTGTGAGCGCCTCTGTCCTCTGCTCTCCAGTAACAATGGCCAGTTCATCCTTCAGTTCCTGGATTTCCTTTTGTAGGTGAATAATTGTCTGCAAAGGGCAAGTTGGGAGAGTCATTGTCAACTTCTCATTAAGGTGAACTTGGTGGCAGAGAACATGCATCTTTAAAAGGATGTAAAAATTGGTAGGATATAAAACTGTAAGGATATAAAAATTGATAGAGAATTATATCCCATGTCTAACATATAGCTTTGTTAAATCTTAACATTTTGTCAAAATAGGTCTTGAATTACTTTTTAACAAATAAAATGTCACGGATGTAACCAGAGCCTACTATTTCTGCTCCTCGTTCACCCTTTCCCACGTGATCACTATTCTACGGTTAGAGGGAATTAAAACAATCTTTGTATGTTTTCATGCATTTATTCCATGTGTAGGGATGCACCTGTAAATAATGTATTATTTTGTATGTCTTAAACTATGTTAGCATTACATTATTACATGTAATTACATCTCATTTCCCCCCACCTACTCCCCACATTATATTTTTGAGCTTGTTTAATTGGTTCATATTTCTCTAGTTTATTAATTTTCATGGATATACAGTATTTCAATAAAGAATATATTATACTTTGTTTATGTGTCTTATTGATAAATATTTAGGATTTTTGCTTTTGCTATGACAAACTGGGTGGCTGTGAATATTAGAATTTCTTTGAGTACACGTGAGAGTTTCTCAGAACTAGAATCTCTTGGTAGCAGTGTATGTGCATAGTTGAAATCATTCTCCAGAGTGACTGGACAGATTTACATTACCGTAACACCACTTGTGTCACTATGTGATGCTGACAGGTACTTTAACTTTGTCAGTCTGGGAGGTGTGAAATGATATCTCATTTCAGTTCTGATTTGTATTTTTGTAATTATTAGTGAAGCCAATCATCTTTGCACATGTATATTGGCTGTTTGGGTTTCTTCTGGGAATTATTTATTTACATTTTTGTTCAAGTGCCAATGGACATATTATTTTTTCCTTATTAATTTTCAGGCCATATGTTCTGGATATGAGTTCTCTGTTAGTTTCAGACAATGCACCTGTTCTTTTAATTTTTTAATTTTTTTATTATTCATTTATTCACATGAATGCACCTATTTTCTCCCAGTCTGTGCCATGCTTTTCACTTTGTGTTATTCTTTTTGTTTAATGAAAGTTGTGAGTTTCTATATAATCTAATTAGCAACTTCTTCCAGCATGATTTGTATTTTTGTGTCTTCTTAAAAACAATCTGTCTTATTCCAAATGATAAAAATATTTCCCTATATGATCTTTTATATATGTTAAAGCTTTGCTTTTCACATGTAAGTGGATTTTACTTTGTGTAATGTATGACACAGGGATCAAAATTTAATTTATTTCTGTATGGCCGACCATATAAGATTTGTTATTGTAATTGTCATGCAACGTGTTTCCATATAAAAATTGCTTGTTTCTGGGCTATTGGTTGAAAATGTTTGCCTATTTGACTATTTACGCAGTTTTATCACACTTTTAGTGATGATAGCTCAGGAAATTTTGGCATCTACTTAAGACAAACCCTTTCCATCTTATTCTTTCCCAAAAAAGAATTGGCTATTCTTGTCCATTTGTTCTCCCATATAAGTTTTAGATCCAGATCACCAACTTCTATCAAGAGACCTCAAATTTTAACAGTAATTCTATTTACTTCATTACATACAGTTGATATTAAATCATCCCATCCATGAACATGGTAAACCTGTCCAGTGGTTCCTTTCAATAAGGGTTTTACATTTTTTTCTTTAATGTCTTATACATCTTCAATTAGATTATTTATCAGGAATTTAGAAATTTTTGCTAATATCATAAATGGAATTTTAAAAAGCTATATTTTTATAATTATTGGCTTTTGGTGTATAGGAATGCAAATCAGTTTTTTTTTTGTAGTACTGGGGACTAAACCCATACGTATGCTAGACAAGATCTCTCCCAAGTGGAATGAAATTAATTTTTATGTATGGATTATGTACCAAATTATTTTTTGACTATTTTTGGTTCTGTTTATCATTAAATACTCTTGGATGGTATATGTGAGCAATGAAATTGTCTGCAAGTAGTAACAGATGTTTTTTCCTTCTTTTCTGATTCTCATGCATTTTACTTTTAATTGTCATATTGTCCTAGCAAGGACCTCCAAGTACAATTTTTAAGACATTCTTGTCTTATTCCATCTATCATTTCACTTTTAAAATGATGTTGCTACTATTTTTTGGTTGATATAGTCAATCAGTTTTAAGATGTTTTAAATTCATAGTTGATGAATCTTTTCAACATGGATGAATGCTTAATTTTATCAAATACTTCCTTTTGCAACTAGTGCTGAGACCATATAATTTTTCTCTTTTAACTTGTGCATGTGATGAATCACCTGGGTTCATGTGACTAGCAGTTGAATGTTAACTATTTCAGATGTATGAAAAAACACAGACGAGTACCTTGTACCCACTACTTAGCTTAAGAAATAAAACACCACAGGCCTGTTTGAAGTTCTCACCCCTACAGCCTTTCTTGAATGAATCCCCCGTTATGATTGTCCTAAATTTTGTTTTGATTGTTCCCAATTTTTCTTTTACTGTACACTGATATAGTTTCTAGTGATAAATTATCTTTAAATTCCTGAAGTAAGCTCAACGAGGCCATGATGTCACATATATTAATAACTGCATTTTCATAATACAAACTTCTGAAAACAGAAAATAGCAGGCTGAATTTAGATTTTACTCTTCCTTGAATATTTGATGTTATTAGAAACTAGACCTTCCTTCCTTCTTCCCTTCCTCTCTCCCTCCATTCCTTTCTCCTTCCCTTCCTTTCTTCCATCTACTCCTTTTGTAGATTTATTCATTTCCCAACTTCTTTGCTTGCGGGGGGGTGACCAGATTAAGGGGAGTGTGTAAATTTGAGCTCAAGGTCATGTGAGGTAGAGCCTAGGGTTTCAAGTTTTCATAGAAAATACTTTTTGTTCCACCTAGAGACCAGGCTAGGGCAAACAAGCTCACTAACATGTCCCCATACCACTGGATACATTTTTTTTTTCTGGTCCACCCTTTTCCTGGTTTTGTGTTGGGGAGGGGAAAAGATATCTTAGGTTCAATACCCATCTTGCAAAGTTCCAGGATTTCGATTTCTATCCCTTTGTTATAATTGCAGTCTCAGGTTTGTTTGTGGGCTCTGGAGAATTCCTTTACTTCCTGTTAACCTCAGATAGGTATTTCAAAGACGTGCAAAATTTTATATTGGAGAGTTTTAGGCTATCTGGGTTACATAAACGGGACCAGAAATCCCAAAGAACACGATACTGATTATTTTGAACATGTCAGTGCTCCTAGAATTTTATTTAATGCACAGGATGGTGTGGGTTTTATTTGTTTGCTTCCCTCCAAAAGCAGTGTTGGAATCATCAAGATAGAACAAAAATCTTTAGACAAGAACTATGTGAATCATTCATTTGTACCTTCCTCTACTAAGTTAATTCTGATGTCATATTTTCTACTTCTACTAAGGCTTTCAAAGTCAAGTCTAATACCAAACAATTTTTCTGTCTTATTGAATAGAAAACTAAACCTGAGCCAAATTTTCAGTGTTGAGACGTCTACAGTCATACCTCCCACCAGAGTACTGAAGGAACTCTGGAATTAAGAGTCATTGTTAGATCTTGAACCATGTCTAGTTACCACAGACTCTGGCCTGGTTCAGAATTATTTTATTACCTTGTCTCTTGGAAGTATCACACTTGTAAAGAATGCAGGGCAGTCTTTAGTGATTCTGATCACACATTTACCATTTAAATTTGAAAGTAAGACCTAGGAAATCCCACCCAAGTTGTGTCTTGAGTGGTTTTTCGGACAAAATTTCAATTGTCACTTGTGCTTCAGACAAACGTTGTTAATGAAATAATAAACATCAATGTGAGTTTTTAGAAGCAATTATTAAAGAAACCAGGAAACAACACTTGTCAATTACCAGATTATTCCATACTAGGAAGACCTAGGCAATTTGCTCAATTTTCATGTATTAGCTTTTGACCCCGGATGTCTCTTTTCTTTAAATCTCTCACAGATCTACAAACACATGACAATGTTCACCTTTCTTCAAATTTTTCAAGTTGTTTCAAAGAAATGTCTCTCTAGCCAAATTTAAAGAACCCCCACCCCGTGTCTAATATGTTTATTTCCCTTACATTATGAACTAATTTTTGTATTCAGGCTAATAAGGTCCTTACAATCTTTCTCATTCTATTAGGGCTTCTGGAAGGGTCAGGACAGCAGAAAAACTTGCCCCACAAGTGAGATTTTGCTTAACTCATGCCTTTGCATTCTCCTCTTTTCAACTGCAGCTCAGCATAACACTGTACAGGTCCTATACAGGAACAGATCTTGCTTTACCCATTCCATGGGGAAGCTGATACTCCCTGAGGCAAGCAAGATAAAACAGATGTCCCCATTATTCTTTTCCTTCCTTTTCCTCTATCCTTCAAAGGAATGATTGCAGAAGAGAAAAGCCAAATAACCAAGAGGAAGTAATTAATATGGGGAACAATGGATTTGAAAAATTTTTTTGATTTTGAGAAATTTGAAAGTGAAGCACTGTTGGTAAGATTTCATATTTTTCAATAATGCATACTAAAGATTTATACCAACTTATTTTCTAGAGAAATAAGTGAGTTGAAAAATGATATTATCTTAATTATGGAATTTGACAAAACAGATATTTTATTTCAACATTGTTAGCATTGGCAAGAGTTGATTTGGTATTGTATTTCTTTTATAGAAAACTCACAAAATAGAGAAAATAAAAAAAATGCATTCAAAATGAATAATTGAATCATGTAGCTTGTAATTTTTAACATAAAAGTGCTTTGACAAAGCAGATCTTAGTATCATAAAATAAGAAACTTGATCATTTTTCTATGAATCAAACTGATATTTTTTCAAATCTCTAGAGTAAATAATAGGACAGTTTTACAAAATGTCTATTTTATCTTATTTTATTTTATTGTATTTTGCATTTTGTTTTGACTGGGTCTCATTATACAGCCCAGGCTTGCCTTGAACTCACGATCCCTCTACTTTTGGCTTTTCTAATGTTGGGATTACAGGTGTATGTTACAATGCACGACTCTTTATAAGCTTTTCAAAAGATGGTTTATTATTATGTCTAGAAAGTTAAACGTGTTTTGTGGAAGGCATATGAATATGATGGTATTTTTGGTTATCATTTTGTTTTCTGTGGTGCTGAGGATTGAGTCAAGGGCTTGTGAATGCTAGGCAAGTGCTGTACTACTGAGCTATATCCTCATCCCTAAATATAACTGTGTATGATCCTGTAGGATGAGTCCTCAGGACTCACTGCACATCTATGAGGGGAAGCACTAGGGAATTGGAGGTAAGAAAACAGCTTCTAAAGCCAGACTGGCTGGGTTTGAATCATAGCTCTGGTTCTTATTAGCATTGTGATTCTGAGCAAGTTACTTAACATTCATGTGCCTCAATTTTGTTATCTGTACAGCTAGAAAGAGCATCTATTTATAAGGTTGTTTTGAGAATTTAATCAGCTAATGCATTTTTAGTACTTAGAACATTGCTTAAATACAAAACAAGTGCCCCTCCCCACAAGTTTTAGCTAATCTTCAATATATTTTTTAAGCATAGTTAAAAGTTTCTTACCAATCTGGGATCAATTTCTTCATTAAGAACAGCTTCATTCTTTATGAGTGCCACTCTTTGTGCAAATCTGCAAGTAGATATAGACTCCTAAAAAGCAAAATAACTTCCTAAAACATTATGGCATAGAGAGATACTTCTTTCTAGATAAAACTTGATTTTTATTCATAGAGAAAAGTTGCATGCCTAAAGTGTGATGTGTATAAAAAAACACAATGAAGAACTATGGCTCCAAATTAAGGAGCTTTGTTCTAGGTTATTATTTTCTATAAAATTTTGGTGTTGGTGTAATAAAATTACCAATGCCAAAAATATGGAAGACTCTGAGGTCTTAGATGGCAGCTGGTATGTGTTTTTAACTACAGATCTGTCAAACCATATATATATATATACATATATATAATAACATATATATCATATTATTATCATAGCAGGTTCCATAATCTACAAACATGAAAGATGACAAAGTAAATATTTGTAATGGACCAACCAAAAGGACGGGCTTTTCATGGCGTCTCACCACCAAGGGCTTAGCCTCGTTTTCAGAAGCACTCTGTTGCTTTCTGCTTCCCCTTTTGGAGAGTGTCTAGATTAAGTGCTAAACAGAAATGAGTAAGCCATCAACTGGCTCTAAAGAACCCTGGAAAGCCATTCAGCAGCAGCTCCTGCAAAGCATCCTGGGTACCGCACCCCACAGTATGTTCAGGAACAGAACTCAGGGTTATCTTCCCAGTGTCCTGATCTTACCAGCCAGGAGCAAATCATAGCAAGAGAAGATCATGGGTTGCTCTCTCATTTCTCTGTCTGGGAATGAACTCACCTGTAGGCCCCAAAATTTGCACAAGGCTCCTTTAAACCATCCTGTGCTATGTGAAGTCAACTCTCAAATGGGGTTATTATAACACTGGCAAATAACCCAAAGCAATGAATTCTGTGGTGTACTTCCCTCTGCTGGCATACTTCAACCCAGCTGCAAAAATGGAAGCTCACTCAGGACCCTCAACTCCATCTCACAAACTAACAATAGGAACCCAGCCCAAGATCTCCAGAAAGAAGAACCAACATACGTCAATATTCCTTTTCTCTAAAGAAAGTGTTGCAATCATAGTCGTCATGCAGTTCCCTCCCAAACTGTCTCTTAAGACACTGGTCATCATGGAGTTCCTGTAAGGAATGTGCGAACGGTGTTTTTCTGAAAGGGCAATGATGACCTGTGGTAAAGTAGAAAAAAATGATGGCATTACTTTGGCAGGAAGGGCACACCTGACAATACATAAATACAAAAAGACATAATAACTAAATACAGGTGATGCTTAAGACAGGCACAGAATATCTTTTTAAAATTTTGTTACTATGGTTTGAGCTCAGGGTCTCATGCTTGCTAGGCAGGCTTTTTACACTTGAGCAATGCCTCCACCCCTTTTTGCTTTAGGTATTTTTCAAATAGGGACATGTATTTATGCCCAGGTTAGACTGGACCATGATCCTCTTTGCTGTGCCTCCAGTGTAGTTGGGATGACCAGCATGTCATACCCAGCTTTCATTGGCTAAGATGGGGTCTTTTAACTTTTTTCCGAGGCTGGCCTTCAACTACTTCCTGAGTAGCTAGGACTATAGGTGTGAGCCACCTCAACTGGCTCAAATAAGTGCCATAACAAGAATCTTTGCTACAAAAAATGGTGAAGATGGAATAAAGTTAATGTAGGATAAACAAAGCATTGTGAACACTTTAATTTTGGATACATGAAATACTTGTATAGAATTGGATATACTATTATTCTATCTTAAGCCATTGGTAAATCTGCATAAAAACACAATAATTGTTGACCTGATTACTTTCACCTGAGCTATATACTCCATCTCCAAGCTAGGAGAGGCAGAACAATAAAGAACTATGGGAAGTTGAATAGGATAGGTTGAGATCCCAGATTCTGATTTAAGATTGTTTTGGTGAAAGACTTAGTCTTATTAGAGTGTGTCACTCAACATCTCTGCATCAGTCTTCTTATGTGTAAAACAGGGATAAAACGTACCTACTTCATAAGTAGCTGGAATGATTAAAAAAATTAAAATGTGCAAATTACTTTGAGTAGTAACTATCCTATGAGTGCCATATATATGAAATGGCAGGGTAGTTTACCTTAATTCAACTCAGCCTTGCTCATCTTACTCCTTGTGAATTTCTTAGATACTTACTAGGAAGGTACCACATGGATGGGTCTTAGATGGATGAAGGTTGCTGGGGCTGTCATAAAGGGAGGCATGAGGGGCTTGGGCTATCCTGGGAAGATAATTCTAACACTAGGATGTTCATTGCAAAGCAGCTGGAATTAGTCACCTAAAGAATGGAACTTCAGGGCATTACAAAATCCTGGCTTCTAAAAATAGCTTGCAAACACTTGGCATTGTTCTAGTTCACCCTCTGCCCAGCTGTGTAATTGTCATCATCACAGCCCTTCTCACTCCTTTGATTTACAAAACAACATGAGAAGACTCTGCTTCTCGTCATTCAAATCTTTGTTCAAATTTTGTCTCCTTACAAGAGTTTTTCCTGGACACTCTATCAAATATCACACACCTGCTGGGCAACTGTGGCTTATATCTGTAATCCCTACCTACTTGGGAGGCTGAGATCAGGACAATTGATATTCAAGAACAAACTAGGCAGATGGTTCATAAGACTCCATCTCCAAAAATAACTAAAACAAAATGGAATTGAGGTGTGGCTCTTACCTGCTTCGCAGGTGAGAGGCTCTGAGTTCAAATATCAGTCCTATTTATCTAATTACATGCTTATATAGCACACCTATCTCCAGCCTATGACAATATTTGTTTTCCTTTTAGTACTTATCACCATTTAAAACTACATTTCTTTACTTTTTTGTTATCTTCTTCCCATTAGACTTTCCATCCCTCGACGCCAGAGCTGTTGTCTGCCATCCCTCTTGTTCGCAACTCTACTGCCTAGAAGAGTGCCCAGCACTTGGTGCATGTGGCAGAAACTAAGTACTGTCAGTCACTCGGGTCTCATGATAATCCCCGATTTTGTTTGATTTCCTATAAAACTACATTTTCTGGTTTCCCTCACAACTTATATTTTGTATAAGACAGTCCCACCAAGAAGCCACAGCTGTGTGGGAGAGTGTGGCATCTGGTTCTTCTAAGATAGCTTCGGTGAAGTTTCTGGGATCTAGAACTTAATGTCCTAAGTTTCACGTGGGGATAATGGTAGTGTTTTGCAGAGCAGTTCAGTGGTGTGGGCAGGTCTGTTTTCTGGTTGCTTTGCTCCCTGCTGGGTAGTATTCAAGCCCAGTTTTCTGACTTTTTTTCTTTCTTTTTTTTTTGAGATTCTTTCTGTTTAGTAAACTATGCTGCTTAAAATAGCTACTGTGGATTTTTCAGTTTGCAACTAGGAAATCTGATGATTACAATATGTGCTAACCACATTTTTGGTTATGAATGAGGGAATGAATGAATGCATAGCTGAGTTAGTTTCATCTAAGAAAGCACTGCAATGGGAAAACTATTTTTGATGTATTAGAAAAGAAGTGGGAAACATGGCTGGCTCAAGCCTGAGTGGCAAGGGATGCTGAGCAGAGCTCTGACCTTAAGAAGAGAAGGCCAAGCAAGTCTAAAGTCCAAGTACTACATCAAACAGGGGTTGGTCTGACTAATGTGAAGCGAGAGAAGTGTGATAGTTTATGAATCATTAATTAGGCATTTAACAATTCTGCAAGTATTTTAAAGTTCTTTCATAAAACAAAGATCACTATTTCTTTCTCCCCTGGGAAACAACATTCAATCTTTCCTATTCAAAGGCCCTACTGACAACATGAAGAAGAACGTGACTGTTAAGCCTCCTGTTGATATTAGTGAAATTGCTTTTGGTTCAGGTAATGGATAATGTAACTGAAAGTGGTTTTGATCATGAGGTATACTTACTTGTTCATGTAATTGAAATAGGAAAGGTTCTAGGTTAGAAATTACCCCAAAGGTTAGAGCTACCACCAAGGACTTAGTTTTCCCCCCTATTTCTGCTCTATCTTTCATGTGGTAGAAGTTAGCCTCCTCATAGTCACAGGATGGCTTCCAAATGCCCTGATGTTGTATATTTCTTTATTCATAACTTAGGTAAGACAGGGCTTTTCTTCTCTAGTCATGAAATGAGAGTTCGGAGCCTCTCTAGGGACCAGCTTGGACCCTGGCCTGCCCTTGAACTAATCACTGTAGCCAGGAAAAAGGCTCCGGTTCACTTGGAGCAGTCAGGATCTGTAGAGTTGAGATGGGCTCTTGGTTTTGTTCTCCAGAATGGACATTGCTGAGGTAATTCCAACAACCTGTTCAGAAAGGGTGTGAAGTTGATAAAGAGAAGAATTAAAAATCAAACTGGGCTTAAGGATTAGATCACAGCCTTTTAAAGTGGAGGAAATGAAGGCAATGCATGGTAGAAGAGAGAACCCGGGACTTGGAGTCAGAACCCGGCTTCTGCACTTGTATGATCCTAAGCAAGCCTCAGTCTCAGTTTCCTCGTTTGTGAAGGTGAGGTTAGGAGGCCTGCCTGCCTTGGAGAATGGTTTAAAATGTTCCTGAGACAGTTCCTAGAAGAAGCAGAGACACTCAGCACTGTGGAGGGCCTTCAGGAAGCGCCTGCTCTTTGTGGTCCTTTTGCCCTGGGCTTCTCTGCAGATGACAAGGGCCCTGGGCGGGTGTCCCAGGGCTCAAACAGCTTTAGAGCCACAGTGAGCCCGGGCCACCTGGTGCAGACCCCGATCTGCAGAGGAACATGGAAGTGGCAATCATGGGGGGAGAGGGCAGGTAGAGTGCTCATTGAGGGGCTGCTGTGAGCTTGCCAAACTGGGCAGGAACCCACAGATATTCTGAAATGCACAGAGGTAAGGAGGGGGTCACATGGCCTGGCTTTAATGTTAACTTCTATTTTGGATTCCTTGTATAGATAACAATGTCCCTGAAGACATTCTTTAAGTGACAAAGACTAGACCCTTACATTATACTTAGTCACATCTCTGAGGATCCATAAGCTGTGCCTGGCATCACTAATTCAGCTTGCTATTTAATGAATTAAAGATATTTGCTCTTAAAGAGCAGGGAATATTACCCTCTGAAAACTGACAGATTCTGAGTGATTATGACCAGCACTGGCACCATTAGTTTTTCTCCTGGACACAACACACAAGCAGTGAGAGCCAAATGGAAACTGAAACTCTGACCAAGTCTCACTTGTGATGCACAACTGGCTGGGGGCAACCCCGATCCTGATTTCTGAGGAGTTGGAGAGCAAATATTATCTTCTAGTGGTTTCTCACTTGATGATCGGGCTAACAAAAACCGAAGTCGCACCAGGGGCACTTGGTGAGGTTGGCAGTTAGCACAAGCATGCACTGCTCCCTTCCTTTCCCCCCCAAGAGCCTGAGTTCTAGGGCTAGGATGTACCCTGTTATTGTGGCTTACAATGTTTTTGAGGAAACTTTTTGGAAAAAGTACTGCATACACAAAGTGAACTCCAAAACCAACAACATGCTGGCAAGCAGAAAGTTATTTGCTTATGAGCAGAATAAGGTGGATTTGACTCAGACTGGCTGTACACTTCTAGCAGGTGTGAGGCCACACAATTATGGCCAGGAGGGCAATTAGAATTCTGCATGGGATTTCTAAATCAATGCAGGCTAATTAAGGCAAGACAGATTAGCAGACTATTTCTTCTTCCATCTCTCTCTTTTATACTGAAACCAAGAAAGAGATGATATAATTAATTACCAATGCTTAAATGTATCTCTAGAACAGTGTTTTGTGACTGCACTGAAAGTATTGGTTTATATGCTTTGCTATTGTTTGGGGAACAGTCATCATTTTTTCCCACTGCCAAACACAACTCACAGTGCCCAGTAGAGACTCCATCGCAAACTATTGAATGAATGAATGAAGAAGCTAGTTACACTAAGTTATGTCACACTCCTAGTCTCCTTAGACACACAATGAAGTACTATGTAAAGAGAATTTGATTTTTAAAGTCCTTCAATTATATCATTAAGTATCTTCCCACCTACTGTCTTTTATTGCTCTTACTACTGTATGCCTCCTGGATCTCTCTCACTATCTCCGAGTGTAATTCCAAAATTTCTCTTCTATCCAATTCACAACTCCCAGACTTAGTGAAGCCCACATATCCATGTCTCCATAGTGCAGTTTTACAGCATTTATGTCCACCTTTGCTTTCATGCTAATCTCTCCTTTTCTCTCCATGACTTTATGCTGAGACTTCTTGCCTATAAAGGGACTCAGATATCAGCGTAAAAATAGTTAACAGCTGCAGTGATGCAGTGGGTGAAAAATGAAACAGATAAATTATACACAGAGAGCCAAAGGTCACTGACATGTGATTGACATTGGGACCTAGAGTGAACCAATCTCCCTGGACTGGGGCAAGGAGTTGATGATAGGCTCACAGTTCCCAGGGCCTGACCTGCTCTACCCCCACTCATTTTTCAAGTCTCTGTTTAGCGTCAGACCCTCAGAGAAGCATCACCAACTTTCACCTCCTCAGTCTAAGTCAGATCCCTCATGACAAGCTCTCTCACTCTCTTTTCTTTCTCTTCACAGCTCTCACCAGACTTAACAGTCATGTGATTACTTTATCACTGCTCCCTGCATCAGGCCATGAGATCTTGGGGAGAAACTGTTTCTATTTTGTTCACCACTATGCCCTACTGCCTTGTGCAACCCTCAGCATATTATAGATCCTTAAAATATGTTAGATAAATAAATTAATGAAATGGAAAACCAAATGCCACATAACCACAAGACTACTCACATGAGAATTCTGGAGAGATGTAAGGAGAGGCATAGTTTTAGTGACAAGCAGAAGCTTGCAAAGATTGTGTAGAGGAAGTAGGAAAAAGGACTTAATGGCAAAACATTTCTCTTGAGTGATTACAATTGGTGGGAAGTCTGATTTAACTGATGAATGTAATTCTGTATGAAAAGATGGACAAAATAGGAATTAAAATAGTGCTGCCATCTGAAACAAGTGGATACATTTCCTTGAAATAAAGCACTTGGAATACAGTCCATTATGTTTTCATATCATTGTTCTGTAAGTATCCTATTAAGTAAAAAGCCTGGGTAATTGTGGAGTATTTGAGCAAGAAAGAGCTCAGGACTGCTGACTCTTGTCAAAAATACTAAAATGATTGGAATGCCATGCAGGTTCTCATCTCTGGGTGCTGTATTACTGGGATCCATTTGGTCAGAACCTAACCATGTGCATCCTTCAGGTAGACTCCCTTAGATTTCTCTCAATCTGCTTTTTCAGCCAATGTAACACTTACAAAGCATTTAGCATCAGGATAACATCAGTCTCAAAAGGATTCATTAGGCAGTTAAAGAAGAGTTTCTTTTTCCCCTCAAATCTTTAGCCTCTATATTCACTAACAAGTCCTTCTACCTCATCAATATTATCTGTATTTCTTCACTCTAGTTTTTGATTTTTCTCTGTTTTTAAAATTATCATGTATTGTTGTGCTGGGGGCACATTGTGACATTTACAAAAGTTCTTACAATATGTCATAGTTGAATTTACTCCCTCCATCATTCTCCTTTACCAGCCCCCCATTCTTAGAAGAGTTTTAATAGGTCTCATTTTTCCACTTTCATACATGAGTACATAATAGTTTCACCACATTCACCCTCCTGCACCCTTTCCTTATATCCTCTCTCCTCCCACTGGGACCCATCTCCAGACAGAACCTGTTTTACCTTCCTGTTCTCTGTTTTTGAAACCAAGACATTTTTGTTTGTTTCACTGTGACATTTCTATGTATATATGTATTATGTGTATATATTATGTATATGCCCTCTATTTTTCTCCTTTCTACCTTAGTCTTCTTCTTCTGGTGATTTCAACAAGTTTAAAAATTTTATATTCATTCTTGATCACATTTCTCTCTCTCTCTCTCTCCTTAGAATTTGGAAAGTGTTGCCATCTTTAACATTCAACTCACAGTACTTACACTCACAGAGCTGAAAGGGTCTAGAGAAATCATCTTATCCAATCTGCTCATTTTAGAGATGAAGGTTTTTTTTCTGGGAGATTTCTTAGCTAAATTCAGATGAGTTTTCTCTTCCCTCAGAGTCAAATTCAAAAATTAAAAATAGAGCACATACTGGTTTGGATTGTAGTCAATTTGGAGTAGAGGTAGGGAGGCAAAGCTAAAGCTAAGAGAACCATCAGAATCAAAATTACTGAGTAGATGAAGTCACCAGAAGCTGGAAAAATACCAATCACCTATCTGTTATATCCCACAGCTAATCTCCTAGCCTGAAAAAACAGGTAACAGGACACCATTTATAGCCTACACTCATACCCACTAATTTTAAAATAAACACAAGGCAATCACACAGTAAGTGAGAAAGGCATAGGCTTTAGAGCCAAGTTAATCCTGTTTCAAATTCTCACCCTCCCACTAGCTGGATAACCATGGGAAGACCTTGGATAACTTGAATTTTTACTACTTGTAAGTTGGGAAAATAATGCACACTGAGAGTGTAAGGATGCTGTGAGGTGTGAATGAAACAGTCTATACACAATGCTAGAACATATAAAAATGTTCATAGCAGCAGTAATCGGGATAGCCAAAGGGTAGAAACAACCCAAGGGACTTTCAAAGGATGAATGGATAAACAAAATGAGGAACATACATACAACTGATATTATTCAGTCTTAAGAAGTTATGAAATTCTGGTTCATTCGAACATTATGAATTAACCTTGAAAACGTTATGCTAAGTAAAATGAGCCAGGCACAAATACTGAATGATTATACTTATATAAAACACCTAGAATAGACAAAATCATAAAGACAGAAAGTAAACTACAAGTTACCAGAGGCTAAAGATATAGGAGAACGGGGAGTTACTGTGTAATGGATACAGAGTTTCCATTTGGGATTATGAAAACGTTCCAGAAGTGGATGGTGGCAATGGTTGCAAAACATTCTGAATATGCTTAGTGTCACTAAACTGTTCACTTAAAAATGAAGAAAAAACCCCAAAATGCAATTAGAATGCCTGATAGATGGTATGTGCAACAAACGTAGTATAGCTACATCCTATTCTGACCGTTTTACCTGTTCTAAGTAATGCAGTGACAGGTTGATATACTTGGCTTCTGTTAGAAGCAGGCCCCCCACTCCAGTCTTTGCAACTCGCTCTGAACCAGCCAGGTCAACCAAATGCAGCTTGGCATGTCGGACCGTTGCAGATCCTGGCTCTTTGCTGGATAGATGAACAGTGAAAATGCAGTGGGAACGGGTTGAAGCTTGGTTCATAGGAGTCTATAAAAAAGAAATCACAAAGCAAAAGTAATTTGAACAATAAGAATTTTGAAAAATATCAGAAGATTTAAATTTATATTTCTAATGATAAGACATTTTCCCTGAAGCCAACTCTGTGGAATGGAGCAAAAATACTTGCAGCTGAGAACCTTAAAGTAAGTTCTTTTTAGTGTATTACCCCTTGGGTGACTGATAACAAATGTGAACAGGTAGATTCAGAAAATGACAGGAGTTCTAATGGAGTAAAGATTGAGTCCTCTTACCAAGATGATACTTTATTTCATTTTCCAACTACAATCCATACTTCAACTGTGGCCAGCCATATGAAAAACGCTTAATGTTAATCTCATGGGGAAAGACAGAGAATCGCTGTCAGAATTGTAAATGCAACCCATAGACAAAGATGCCCATTGTCACTGCTATTGTGACACTGAGCCAGAACACCTAGTCAAATAATAAATAATAAAAAGAAATAGAAGGCATCATGATAGGAAAAGATTAAAATGTCACTATGTACAGAAAATATGGAAGTTTATCTAGAAAATGCAAGAGCATCTATAAACAGATAAGAGCCAAAAAGTTTACCAGGATTATCAGGATTGCTGGATGAAAGATCAATATGCGAAATCGATGCAGTTCTAACAGCCTAACAGTAATTAGTCAGGATGGCAACAAAAACAATGAAATAACACAGGACTACTTATGTAGAAAATACGACAATCTACAGGGAAGAGTAAGTAACGCTAAAGGAAACCTGAATGAATGGGATCAATATAGCATTTCATAGATGAGAAAACTGAACATTAATCTCTATATAAATAACTTTATATTAACTTATATGTTTAATGCATTTGAAATCAAAATGCTGATGGTTTTGTGTTTAGAATAAGACAAATGATTCTAAAAATCATGGAAAAGAAAACTTTCAAATAAAGGAAAAATTAATTTTGCAAAAGAAAGAGGAGGGGGACTTGTCCCTCCGTATGTTGAAGTGTACCCTAAAACCATAATTGTTAAATATAGCATTGGTCCTTGAACAGACAACTAGGTCTAGGAACAGACTGTGCTCACTGAGGAACTCTGTATAGCGTAGAAGGAATATCACACCATAGCAGAGAAAAGATGGACTAATTAATAAATGGTGCTGGAATAACTGGCTCCCTATCTTTTTCTTTTCTTTGGCAGTGCTGGGTTTTGAACTCAGGGCCTCACTTATGCTAGGCAGGTGCTCTATCACTTGAGCCACTCCACCAACCCTGTTTTGTGTTGGGTACTTTTGAGATGGGGTCTCTTGAACTATTTGCTCAGGTTGGCCTCAAACTGCAATCCTCCTGATCGTTGCCTACTCAGTACCTAGGATTAGGATTACAGGCATGAGCCACCAGCACCCTATCTTGCAAAAAAAATTTTTTTAAGTTGACTTTTCACACAAATACATTCCAGAATGATAAAGTCTTATGTGTAAAACAACACAACTTTAACAATAATGTAAGAAAATACAGAAGCACACCATAATCAACCCAAGGTAGTAATGGGTAATTTAAGGTAACACATACATAGAAAAAGAATAAATTGATTTAAACGTTTGACCTAATAACCCCTAATTTAGAGACTTGTTGTGATTAAAATCTACCATAAAGTTTAAAAATGGGAAAAGATATTTGCAATGCATAGGACTGAACAGAGGTTAATACTTGAAATAAAGAATTCCCACAAATCAATAAGAAAAACAATTCAGAAAAATGAGCAAAGGATATGAATAAGGAACCCATAACAAAGTCAGAAAATGGCTAGTACTATTTGAAAAAATAAATAAGGACTACATAATTTAGAACCATAATCCCAGCCTGTAATCCTAGCTCTCAGGAGGCGGTGATCAGGAGGATCTCCAAGCCAAATAGTTTACAAGACCCTATCTCAAAAAAAACACAATACAAAACAGAGCTGGTGGAGTGGCTCAAGTGGTAGAGCACCTGCCTAGCACCAGTGCCTCCGTGTGAGGCACTGAGTTAAAAAACACCACTAATACCAAAAAAAAAAAAGAAGCAACCTTCAGAAAGACTGACATAGATTTCTAAAATAGATTGTTGAGGACAAACAGCAAGTTCAAGAATTATATGAAGGCTATAATAGAGTTTACATAATTACAAAACTGACATTATCTATTGCTCATGGAAGTATAAATTAGGTCATTAAGAGGATAAAAAAAGAAAAAAACAAGGACCAGAAGGGTATTGCAAATAAATGACGTTGATTGCCTTTTTTGAGGGATGGAAGTGAAAGGCCAAGAAAGGGACTTGAGCTTTATCTGCAATAGATTGTTTCTTTGATTTAAAATGATCAGAAGCAAATTCTGGGTTGTGCAAACATTGGGTGTGGTCACATGATCACATTATTCTCTGTACTTTTTTAAAGGGTTTTAAATTTTCTACAAGAAAGATGCAAGTGATAAGTTAGCAAGTATCATTCTCTCAAACAATAAAAAACTAGGAATGTTCCAAATGAATATTCACATGAATAAATTTATTCAGATCTCTGCCTTTGCAAAATAGGATTTAACCGAGGAATTTCAGTATGGGTGTACACATATGCAAATGGGATAACATATTTGAATGCTATTTCAACCAGAAATTCTTTCTACAAATATAAATTCTTGAATTACACCTACTACCAAAAAACACACAGGTCAAAATGCTGTCATAGTTGGTGATGACGATGTAGCTAGTGAGTTAAATAGGGTGAAAACTTGGCCCCTTTCTTGTTGCCGCAATAACTGTATCCAAAGCTAGCTAGTGTGTGATTTTGTCCGCTAAAGTGGATCAGCAAATAACTGTGCGTGTAAAACCGCAAACTCAAATTTAGAACATAAGTTGAGGTATTCTGGAAGTGACTGGAAGTTATTTACAGAACTTAAACATGGGTTTCATTTCACCATTATATTCACACCACAGTAAATCCTACAGTACTGTAATGAGTCAAATTAACAATCGATATAAAATGAATAACACTGAGAATATTCTTAACAGCTGTCTTTGCCTTCGAAACTGGTATGCTGAGACCATTAACAAATATTGGAAGCACGTACCCATTTCAAAGGAATATAAGATTTACAAAAATAAAATTGCACTTCTGGAGTCTATAATTAAAGTGCAGTAATATGCTGTAGGAGTCCATGACTACAGTTTCGTAATGTCTCATAAATATTTTCTGCATGAAGTAGTGGTTGGTGTCTTCTTAGATAAAATGTTCTTAAACCTCAGAAAACATTCTTTATGTGGAGCTGTTTAAGTGTGATTGGATGTGCTGGTGTCTGCTCTTTGTTTAGTTAGGGATGTTTTTATATCTTGTGGGCCTACCCACTCGCTTGTCCCTTCAAAGGTAAAACTGTACTAAAGCATTTCTGAAATTGCCTGAGAACAGATGGCATCGCTTAGGAAGATTCATTCATATCCATGCACACGTTTAAACAAATGTGTTTTTGGCACTAGACTATGCTTTTGGGAAAATTCTTGGGATGATTAATTGCCTGCATGCAGAGAGCTTTCACATTTTGTATCAGTCTATGTAGAATAGCTGTGTTTGGCAGTGCAGAGAAGAAAAAAGGAAATAAGACCTGGACCTCACCCTCAAGGAACTTGAAATCTAGTCCAGAATGAGAACAAAATGTCTGAAACAAGAGTGAACATGAAATGAGGAAGAAGCAAGATGTGAGGTAAAGAAAGTGATCTGTTCCCAGCATGGAGCATCCGGATTCTCTAGGTCATACCTGAGAATCCTCGAGGTCATACATACCTGCAAGTTCCTTGTCCACTTTCCACCACCTGGTTTTCAGGGACAAATGACCTCCAGGTGCTTCTCCCTCCCAAACTACTCCGTCTTCTTTTCTCATACAGTACCTTCCTTTCTCCAGTCCCCCAAACAGGTGTATCCTAAGCTATGGTCACCATATTCCTTCCTTGGGAACTATCTCTGACAGCTCCAATCCACATTGGATAGGCTCTGCAGTGTATTAAAAACTGCACACCAAAAATCTTAAGAATTTGGTATTGATGATCTGCTTTCAAATCCAGGTTCTGTCAGTTGCTAGTGTTTAGCGCTTAAGCAAATTTGCACGAAGTGACTTGGTTTTCATGTCTCTGAAATGATGTAACAAGACCTGCCTTGCTGCAAAGAGTTACATTAAGTAACAACTGAGTTACTGAGTGTTGAAGTGCCCTGTGAACTGTAAAAGATCACATTAATGTCCATCACTGTCGAAACTCTATTCCTATGGCTCCAGTATTCTAGTTCTTACCTCATTTTCTGCCTATCAGATTAGCGTGTCCAACTGCTTACCTGCTAAATGTCACTAAATGTTCCTAGAACACAATGCTCCCCAACCAACCACATAGCTTTCCCTCCTTCTGTGGCCTGTGGATGGACAGCCAATCCATCCTATTCCTTTTGGACTTACCTCCTCTTCTCCACATCTTTATGATTAACCAATCTCTCACCTGGTCACTGTATTCTCTGCCTGCTGATTTCCTGGTATTTATTCTTACCCCCAACAACTGTTCTCCAGCTATCAGAGTAACGTTTTGAAAAGGTGTATATGATTATGTCAATCCCATGCACATCCCTAAATTAAACTAGTATGCTTCCTAAGACCAAATATCTCTTTCTTTCAACTGTGTCTTATGCAACTGTTTATTAAAATCCCTTCAAATATGGCACTCTGGATTGAATATATCCCTTCAATCATAGCCTAGCACAGCAGAGGACACTGAGGTATCATTTCCTGGAATCTTGGCAATCTAGATCTAGTATTACCAGGCAATAGCACATGAAGTATTATTACTCCAGATTTACCATAGCCTTTGCCCATACCATAGAGTTTCTTTGGAACTCTCTCCTCACAGAGTGTGTTTGATGACTGCATTTGATTAGTCTTTACCCCAACATTATAACCTGTTGGCTCTTCCCCCCAGTTTTGTGATACTACAAATGAAAATGTCTTGCCTACCTTCACCCAGACATTTGTAAGACCTTTAGCAACAGGGAAAAACAACATTCCAAAAAGATGACCTCTGCTCTCCCCCCCATTTGGAACTGTTAATGGATATTTTCCAATAGGCTTCAATCCAAGTGCATTCACGTACCTTCAATTTCTCTTTATAGCCCTATATTAGTCAGACTTTTTGTCACTGTGACAAACACCTGAGGAAAACAATTTAAAGGGAGGAACTATTCTCTGGCTCGGGGTTAAAGAGGTTTTTAGTCAAGGATCGACCAGATCCATTGCTTTGAGGTCAGGTGGAGATGATGGTGTCAGAGGCTGCTAACCACATGGTTAGATAGAGTCACAGCAATGACCCTGCTCCTGGTACCAATATTTTGTGTTAGGCTTTTTGAATCTGTGACAAAATACCCAACAAAAACAACTTGAGGAGGAAATATTTATTTTGGCTCATGGTTTCAGAGATTTCAGTCCATGGTCACTGGAGTCATTGTTTCTGGGCCTCAGATGAGGCAGTATGTGATGGCAGAAGGGAGTGGTAAAACAAGGCTGATCACCTCATGACAGCTAGAAAGCAGAAAGAGTGATAGGAAAGGGCCTGAGACAAAGGCCCAGGCCCCTTCAAAGGCATGCTCCCAGTGACCTACTTCCTCTAACTAGGCCTTACCTTCTGTTTCCCACTACCTCCAACAATGCCATCATTATAGATCCATCAAGAGATTAATCCATTTATGATGGCAAAGCCCTCATGGCCCAATAACATTTCAATAAGTGGATCCATCACCTGGGAACAAAGTCTTCAGCACATGAGACTTTGGGGCAATACTTCATATGCAAACCATAAGAATTCCCAAGGATGTTTTGAGAGACTTTGTTTAAAACACAGACTCCAATTGATCTATGGATTTTTAAAACCCTACTAGAAAAGTGCATGAAGTCAGTTTAAGGTGAATCAATGTTCTTTCCTAATTGTTAATTGACAATTATTAAACAATCCTTTATCAGTTTCTTTTCACAGGGTTTCATATCAAAAGTATTAAGTTATATGATCTGGGCATGGCTCAAGTGATAGAACGCCTGCCTAGCAAGCATTAAGTCTCAAGTTCAACCCCCCAGTTTCACCAAAAAAGTATTAAACAAATATATTTTCTTGTTTTTGAAAACTGAGAATAGATTATTTCCTTTTATATGTGAAAGTTTAAGAACTGGATCCCTCATGGATTTATCCTAGCTATAGGCTCTGATCAATGGAAGTTACATGTCCCCTTTCTCATCTCCAGTGAGGCAAAATATTACTTCTCCCTGAAGTCTGTTCTTCTAAAAGTTTTATCTCCTTTGCAAAATCTCACCATGTCCTCTCTCCTCCCACCCAGACTCTAAGTTTCTCCACAGAGGAGAACTATGACTTATTCATTATTGTAACCCTACGATCACATTGTAGAGCCAAAAAATGTTTGCTAAATTGTTGACTCTTGTTCATTTCTCATACTCATGGCATAGTCTGTATCTTGCTATAAATCCTCAAATCATTCTGAGACTCTATCTGCTAACTATATCTAGGATATAGCTCACTTGAATCTAAAAATTAGAGCTATTCGAAATGGCTAGGTTGACTTTATCTATCTATCTTGGGCTTTAATTATTTTGTGCCTGATTTCATAGCTCTTAACTAGTACCCTCTACATCTTCAACTGCCTTTTCTCTTGTCTAGGATGTCTCCATGCTTGTCATTAAATGATGCCCTTTTCTTCCTCCCAAAATAAACCCACTCAAAAATCATTCATCTTCATGAATTTCCTTGAACTATCCCAAATTGGCTTTTGCCATTGTGTTAAGAATGAACATTTAACATTTGTGTATATAGTAGATTATCATTAATATCTGAACCCTGAAAGAATCCAAAGGATGACCTGTTCCAAACAGATTTAAAAATATTCATCAAAAGTAAAGAATTATGACATTATAATGGACAATTTGTGGTAGTAAAGAGTGATGGTGTGATTCATCTGGCTGCAGATGAGTGCTTGGAGTCTTGCCCACTTGTGCAGATTGCAAAAGGTGACACTGCTTCAAAATGTCTACCCAGAGGGGGTTGGAGCAGCCATGTGGGTGTGAGGTTGGGGGTGTAGGGATGAAGTTGTTTTTGCAGAGCACTTACATAATACAGGATTAATTGGAGAGAACATCAAATGCCTATACTACGGACTGGAGGGCAGTGCTGAAGTCCCTGATCCTATAGTCCTTTAAGCCTCTTCTTGCTGGCACTGACTCACCTACCACTCTTAGCAGTTATTTAATATGGCAAAAAAAAAATCCTTAAATTTCACTGAATGAGAATCATTTCCTACAGGGCAAAAAACTCCTAGGCTGAAAGAGAAATTTGAAAATAATGGTGGGCATTTTCTTTTGTGTTTATGTATGTGTGGCCAGACATTTTAAGATTTGGGGAGCAAGAATCCTTAAGTGAAATATGTTCTTCTGTGTTTACATAATGTGCTATTATGGTCTCTGTAACATTAATACTTGGCAATATTTTCAATCTCTTTAAAAGTGAGTTGATAGTTAATATAGACTTTAATGATTCAAATAACCTCTTTATAGCACATTAAAGTTTTTCTAGCATTCTTTGAATGCTTATTTACTTCTTGCCATAACTTATAACTTTAATTCCTTCCCTGTTTACCCAAATCTTAAAAAAAATCATTCTGCTATTTTGTAATGAAATATCTTAACAAAAATTTCCACTAATCTATGAACAGGTCAGGTGAAGGAAATCTCTTTTAGACTGAAAAGAATGTTATAATGTGTATACATTAAAGCAAAGCAATTAAGACAAACAGTAACCACAGAATCCAGAATCCAGATTTTTAATTCTTATTTGATAACACCGTGTAGAGTCATATCCTTATTGATTGGTTGATTTCTCAGCCCATTTGCTCTATCTGAATTGAATACAGAAAATATTAACAAACATTTGATTTTTTACATGTTTTCAAGGTTGTATTCCAGTCCTTTAGGTCAAACATCACTCTTAATTAAGGATTACCTAATATTTTCCCCATTTGCAAGTGATTTTATTTCAAGGACCTCCCACATTAAATGGACTGGATTAGGAGGCTCACAATGTCCTTGACGGGTCATCGTAAGGCTTATCCTCACTTATAACAGCCTGAAAAGGTGAGTCTAACCAAATCTAGGATTTAGTACATGACCCCTAGTGGTTTGCTGGGGTTGTCTCAAGCACACTGCGTAGCCGTACAATGTTCCTGACTGGATATTTTTCTTTTGGAATTCACACCCTAAACTTACTTTCTTTTCTGACTTTTTTCTTTATAGAATACCTGGCTTTTAGAAGAATAATCAAGATTATTTTCCCCAATTGCAGGATCCTGGGTCTTTTTCTTATCTAGCATATTGTAAAAGTAGTTTTGTAAAAAAGAAAAATAGACTAGGTACAGGAATTTTATTTAAAAGTAAAAATCCTTAGAGAAATATGCAGCATATGAGAATGTTCTAGCAATTATGACTCATCTTTCTGATAAGAATAGCCTAGTGTATTTTATTATATATCCCTCCTAACAAGTCTGGAATCAATTTGATGGATATTTGATTTTCATGTCCTCAAAGATCTATTAGCGGACTTAATAATTTTAGGAAAACTGAGTGCGGTGGTTCTCTTGAACCACCTCTGTTAGATGTCAGGATTCAGAAAATTGCTTCCCTCTGGCTCATTCTCTAAGATTTGACAAATCAAAATCAAATTCATTTATACCAAAATCTAAGTCTGCCAGATAGATGGCAAACTGAGAAGGAATTTTACCTAGATAGTATCTTTAACTGGAACTAGTCTAATTATCGTCCTTGTTAATCACCAGACCAACCACTAGCATAAA